GACCAGATTAGCCATGCATGGACAAGCTACCGATTATTTATACATAACATACAGCTTGGAAGGTAGCTGCTAACACTAACCTTCAGGCTTAGTATCCCTATTATCAAAATAAGATCCACTGATTATAGATTACCAACAGAAAAGGGGCGATGGGAAAATATACCACGGGAAGACAGAGTTTGTTGTCACTGTAATAAAAATGACCTTGCTGACGAATACCGCTATCTATTTAATATGTCCCTTTATTCATAACTTTCGTAAGTTATATATTCACTAGACATTTTGCAAGACCTTGTGTGATACTGCTCGGTATGTTATTACCTAGAGCTTATTAGAACAAAGAAATCCTTAAAACCTTCAATTAAATGTATGAGTATGTTGCAGCGAAGCTTATACCTGATGCACGTCAGTCTCGTGCCTCGTGTCACATCATATATATTTGTTTTACCTTCAATATGTCATAGCTTGAAGGGAAATAAACGTTATTTGTTGTTGTTGAAACATTGTTTGTAAGCAACAGTAGATACCACCCGGGCTTACTCGGCTTGTCTCTCCTTATTCCGCGAGAGAAGTTTCTGCTCCAGTGACCACATCGGGGGAACAGGCACATTAGCATGTCAGGAAGTGCTTCTCTCCGGGGAATAGCCCTTCCTTGCCGCTCCATCGTTCATGGCTTCATACGACCGAGGCATTTATATTGTAATCTTGGCTTTGATAAACACTGGCTTCTAATCCAATCAAGGTAGAAATTGTGTAACTCATTCGTAAGAAAAACACACTTTTCTCTTCAAATTGCCTATAATTACAAGATGGCCGAAGCCAGTTATGCTTGGGTTGTCGGTTTCACTGTGTAAAGCTCTATTGTTTCGGTGTGATAATTCAATCGTGCATAAACTAAAGGTGTGACGTCACACTTACATAAAACCACACAGAACCATCGACGTCCTGGCCCTGTGTGTGGGTTTCATCAAAGGGCTTATCATCATCATCATCATCATCATTTATTCACGAAAAGTTGGCCAACGGCCAATACCATGTTGCAACATAGCTGCAGCCAGTTTTTAATTTCTTTTTCTCATATTATTAGCATAGAAATAAAACATTCCCAGATTTTTTATAGTGTTGGGGTTGTTCACAGACATAAACATGTTAAGTTCATGTAAACTAGGAAATATATAATACTTTTGGGGAACATACAATTGCCGTAGGTGTTCATATGCACTACATTTTAATATAAAATGGTATTGACCTTCAACATATGCGTAGGAACACATTTCACATATTCTTAAGTTTCTTGGCATAAACAGGTTTCTATTTTTAGACTATGTGAGCCACATCTTAACCTTGCCAAAGCCACACGAAACTTTTTTATAGTGATACGCCAAAATAGGTTTAAATACTATAATAGAGTACGAAAACAAGCCTCGAGATAGGGAGGCATGCTACAGTCCATACAAATATTGTGATCTAGCCATAACCTCAAAGACAAAGAATCTTTATTGTCAAGTCAATTTTATACATGTAATATAGTCATTTCAAACCTAAAACCCAATAAACTTTGCCATGGGTAGCAGCAAATAATAATAAATTATAACATTTTGGGGGGAAACGACAAGTTGGCATACACAACGGCTATCAGATATCTGTTGATATCAGAGTGAAAACGCCCTACATTATTTTTTTACTTGCTGTAACTTTACTTAGATAAGACTTAATATGCACTTTTACACTACCGGTTATAACCTGGATACTATTATGAACAGAAACAATGAACTTGCTCACTCTGAAAACCAGAAATTAGTTGAATCCGTCCACGATTTCATCATCAAGACAAAACGTTTCAGCTCTTCACAAATTAATAACTAAATTAACCGGACAATAACCTCATGATTGACTATTACTTTTGTTACAAACGACTTGTTAGACACACACAAGCTGTAACTTTCTATTTATGTTCACTTTGTATTTGTATTTGATGTAATATGTACAAACATATTATTTAAATAATGTCTATATCGATGACGTCACATCCTTCATTTCAATATGTAATATATGTTGTATAGGAGCGGTGTTAACATAAGCTGTAAAGCTTGTTCACCAATCCCAACTCATTTCAATGAATAAAAATATGTTTAAACCACACAACGGCTTATACCAGTATTTTATACAACGTATTCAACCTTCAAAATTCTCCACGGATAATGTGGTTGGGTGTGGAAGGTTTTACACCAAAACAATATTAAGCGGCTGGCATATGTCGGAGAGGTTTCAACTTTGAAAGCGATTTTAAGATACCAGCCAAAATCTTTTTGGATTGTAGAATAGAACTGTCAAATCGCTTGTTCCAGGATAAATTACGTGAAAATATTATTCCTAGGTATTTAGGGTACACGCTCAATTTGGTTACCCTGAAAATATCATTTTGGTGCTTAGAATCCGTGCATCCCTTTTTAAAGACAACTTTATATGTATCCAAATTTACTACTAAATACATTACCTACAATACTCATCAAAACAACAAGAGTACCTGGATATCATCTTATTAGACTTACTACAATGAGCCGTGATATTGTTGGAATATTGCTAAAAGCGGCGTAAAATACAATTCACTAAGAATGTGGTGGAATAGTCCAGTAGATAAAGTGTTCGCTCGCTACGCCGACAGCCCGGGCTGTATTCCTGCATGGGTAGTGATTTTGGGATTTTGCTGGAAAATTGCTAAAAGCGGCTTAAAATTATATTCACCTACTGACTGATATTTACGTGTGGTAGATACGATCGTCTTAGCGCTCAACCCGCTTGTGGAGAGTCAAATGTGTGCTTTCACAATGGTATCAGTCTAAGGTATTCAAAGTGGAATTACCCCCCCCCCCCCCCCCCCCCCCCCCTTCCTTCCTTCCCCCCCTTCCTTCCTTCCTAACATAGTAAATGCAAGGAAAACACAGGCATAACATGTGTATGTTAAACTGCCTCTCCTCCCCTCCCTTCATGCTATCACGCACCTGCGTTCCCGGAACACAGGGCGTACTTGACAACGCACTCCATCAGGCATACTGCTTGACATGGGTGAGCTTCAAACATTGGGCCGATATGTATGATAATCGTGATAGTCACGAGCTGGGGCGAGTTTCCTCGACATGAGCAGGGCTGATGGTGTCTACATGATTAAACAGGGATACACAGATATCGATGACCTCTCCCTGATCTCAGTACATCCTGATAACACTACGATACATGATATATGCATCTGCGCAACATGTCGAGATGACTTCAATTATCACCTTCACCTCAACTAAAATATGTACCTTTTTTAATGCTTAAATTATTATCAACAAAAATCGTAAACTCTTGGCTTTTCCTAAAACATGAAACTATTTTATTGATATTATTTTATTTATATAAGACTTGTTGTACCTAAGTGGATAATGACATCCTTACGTAAATAATCCACAACTACGAGTACAATGCTGTATATATTTTTACAATGTTGTTACGTTACTGTGCACAGGTGCTTCTTGTTCTTTGTCACGGTGATTCATCATAGAAATTACAGCCTTTGTTTAACATGGCATACTGGGTTGTGGTTAAACATTTGGTTGACATACATTTGTTAAATACATTTATCATCCATGACTGGCCTCAGATATTGCTGCGATGAAATTGTATCACAATGCTTTGTTGACCTTTGTGACGTCATTGGTAACCATCAATAACCTCTGCTATTAAAGCTGGTTAATAGTGTTTTTTACACTTAACACACTACTTGTAACTGTTTACAAAATGTTGTTGGACGACAAAAAGAATCTCACTCTCGGCAAGCTCCTATTAAGGTTTTATCGCTACTTGCAGATACAGCTGATATGAAAAGATACGTGGTGCGATTATGCATATAACTAGCTCCTTTGATGACGTATTTCCCCACAAAAAAATACAAATATTAAACGCAAATTGTTTTAGTCAGCAGGAACAATAGACAATTTTTTTTTCACAAAACATCAGTACATATACCAGGTCTAGAAAACAAATGTTTTGCATTTGTTCCAGTATTGACTGGAATAGTTTTTAAGAATAATAAAAAATACCAGGCCCTCACTTATACTCTACCCCACTCTTGTAGAGTATACTCGATATGTACGATGATTTATAAGGTATAACAATTTCGTCATCAAATCATCCTCCCGGGTACCCATGTACTGCAGGGAAGATGGTTCAACAAGTCTTACATAATGTCACTTTATGGGAAAGGACAGGCTACAGATAAGCGGTGGACACTTTAAATGAAATAATGAATCACCATCCTGATATATGTTCGTTCTCTGAGTTTGGGAATAACCATTGTCTGTTTGACACTGCCCTGTACTGGGTAGGAGTGAGTGAGTTTGGTTTAACGACGCTTTGAACAGTAATATAGGAGGAAATCCCGAAATGATCGTTGACGTGTATTACCTTCGTATAACCCACGAGCACGGCTATTGCGCCCACAAACCTAGAAACATAATAACCAGGGTCAAAACTTGGATTCGAACCCACGACGACAGGTTTCTGGCACGCCCAACGGACGCGACTGTCTTTAAAGGACAACTAGGCTACACCTGAATGTATGAATGAATGTTGTGTTGAATGTGAAATACATAATGTTCAATGTATGAAGGTAATGTAAAATGTGTGATAAAATATGTTGAATGTATGAGATATATATACCGCTTGTTCAGCAATTCCTGTGCACAGACAATTATGAAATGATATACTTTGGGAAACAATACACATTCACCAATGATACGACACATTTTATTTGTCATCAAAACAACAATAACAATTCCAACACTCACATCCACAAAACGATTGATATCACAGGTTATTAAATAACGTAGCACTATGTTTAAGGCATGGGGATGATGTTATGCTGGACATAAATTAGAAGTGGGATTTCGATTAGCACTACCGGGCTCGTAGTCATTATCACACAAACTTCATGTGTCCTTACATTGTTTGTCCAAATTTCACAACTGGAATATGCCAGACAGGAACTCCTCACAATGCTTGGAAGCAGCTCTGGCTTTGACAGATCGGGGTCTCCTGGTCCTGTGTCTCTTATTTGCAAACCACTTTCGGAGCTGAGAAAGTGTGATGCCTCCCTTGTTGGCCATGTCCTCTGCTTCTGTATGAGTGGGGTAGGGGTTGTTGAGGTGCTCATGGTACCACGTCTCCATCAAGATGATGGATTCAGGATTGAGGTTTCTGCTGGCAGGACGGGACCTCTTGTCTTGGTTCTCTAGGGTGTTCAGACTTCTCTCGATGCTGGTGAAGACCAGGTGGAGCTGGTCAGTATATCTGTTGGTCAGCCAGTTGTGGTAGTCCGTGGGGAAGAAACCATCTTGAAGACACTGCAGATGTTCCTTCTGAATAGATGACGAATGGAAGGCAAGGAAGCTGGATAGCTCCTTGATCTCTGCTGGGAACCTTGACTGGAGTGACTGAAGTCTATTCTCAAGAGCTAATTGGCGGTCGGAGATGCTGTCGGTAGTCGTCGTTGCTGGATCTTTTCCAAGGGTCATGGAGATGATATCATCAACAGCTTTACCTATGTTTGGTCTCCTGCAAGGTGGCGTCTGAAAGTCAAATGGCCGAGTCTCCGTGACTGGACTGGCGTCTAGGGATTTGAAAAGATGACACGGAGGTGTGACTGGTGCTTCGGTAGGTGTCGACACGACAGGGTGGCTAGGATCCGATACTTTCTGAATGGACAAAATTGAACTTGATCGACTGGGAAATGTCCTTGTTTGGGTGGAAGGTAGAAAGCATGGACTCAGTGGTACACTAGAAACCTCCAACGACTGTGTTGGGGGAAAGGTTGGGCTAAAAATGCTTGGTGGCAGAAATGGTGGACTCAGTGGCAGGAATGGTGAGCTCGATGGTAGGGTGCACCTAGAAGCCATGTAGGAGCCTGGTCTGAAGCTGGGAGTGTAGTACCTGGTGGAGCAGGGAGGGAAGAAACTGTAGGGGCTGGAGAAGCAGGTTGCCTGGAGGTATGTGGGAGATGCCATCGGGTGGAGGCTGGAGAGAGTTGGCACATGGTGGTGGGTGTCAGCAACTGGCAGTGTGAGGGATGACACACCTCGTCTCTTGGGCAGAGGGGTTGATGTGTGCTGAGGTGCTCCTGCAATAAAGAAAAGATTGTATTATATACTCAGGATATACAATAATATGGATATGGCATAGAACAAAGAAGGATTTCAATGGAGAGATCACACTGAACTACCAACAATAGAATAGGGTACAGTGTTTTGGGCAGAGGATGATATTATTTAACATACAGCTTCAGGAAGGACTTCAACTTACCAATATCATAATTTATGAGCATGGAATCATTATCATGAGGTTTGAAGTCAGACATCTTGAGAACAGTTCACTTGTTTATGGTTCTCGGGTAGCAGGAGACTCAACAAATGAGATGTGCTCACATTCCATCCGTAGAGTTTTATACCCTACCCACCACTATGGGTTCATCACCTTCGATCTATTGGCTAGAAGTACTCTTTGATCCCTGGCTTCTATTAGATAGTTATTTATTCTTTGATCTATGGTTTCACAAGCCCGTGTTTTTATAGCATTGTATAAACAGTGCCAACTGACTAATCTCCTCTACACCATGAAGCCAATAAGCTGATTGGAATTAGGATTTGCCTCTAGATTGGTACTTGCTTTGATAACATTTAAGGATGATTTGGATGTTTGGACAGTCGAGTCCTCGAGTAACAGATGATAGTTGATTAATTGCATTGTTTTAATGAAGCGTAGGTAAAAGCGGATTATCTTCATATTAAACAATGTTGACTGAACTGAACTTTTATTTACACTCAGGCCGCTATCAGCGGCATCAGTGGTACACAATTATTTCAACAACATAATATATATACATATACAAATAGAATAGATCAACAATATATTTGCCAGCTTGCTTGCATATTTACACAGATTCATCAGAGTAACATTATATGAGCAATTCAATAAGAGGAAGATTTACTTGATAGGTTTAAACAATGACATGATGATTTTACAGAATTTTGACAATTTTCTCAATGTTCCTAATCGTCGATTATTGAAAAGGAAATTCATTTATGCATATAGGGTTCGATGTAGTAGAATCTGTGTAAAAATGGTTTCCTTTCGTTTTCTAAAGAAAACTTATCTCTTGCACTTGTCCAACACTGCAGATGAATGTCATTTAATGTTTCATGGTCTAAATGTTTTAGATAAGTATGATTTTTAAAACTTTATGAAAATTAGATGTACCTAAGTCCAAGTTCGTCAAAGGTTCGTTAGATATATGTATTTTATTTATGTCTACATTTTCCAAAAAGGTAACACCAAGGTAGTTAGAGGAATCAACATTTTCCAAAACATCATGACCAATTTTGAAATTATGTTTATAATATGTTTGTGATCCACTAAATATTAATATTTTAGTTTTGTTAGTATTAGTCTTAAGCCTCCAATGTATACAATCGCTATGAAATGAGGCACAGACTTGTTATAAATATCTATAGAGACATCAATGGTAGTTGAAATATATTCATTTATTATATTATCAAGACCACAGTTTATGATTTCACCTCATGTTTTAGCCGCATAAAGTATTGTGCTTTCTTCAATGTTTACTTCACGTAGTTTTTCTATATTAAAGTTATCAACTGACGAAACTTCATTTAAAGATTTTAAAAAGCTGAATAGAGATTCACTATTTGGTAGATTTTCATCGCCAAACCGCCTTTGCTTAAGAAATTTCCAAAATGAATGGTCATTTCTTTCACCATCATATAATTTGTTTTAATTTGTAATAATATAAGTTTATTTAAATGCATAGTTGAAAATTTATAAATGCAGTTTTTATGTAACTTTTACATGCATTAACCAGTCGTTGTTTATTTTGGAATGTTTGGTATTTTCCACGGGAGATTTTTGTCACTCTGAATCTTTATGCATAGGTCTAAATTTGAAACAGATGTGTACTGTTTCACTGGTCTCTCCTATTTCTGGTTCAGGTGGGTAAATCAGTGGAAGGGAATTGGTTCTTTGATCGTTATTGAACGATATCAGATCACCGATATACCTGAAGCGTAAGTTACACTTCCTGGCCAGATTCCAATCCGAGCAGAAATTCCGATTCGTATACATAAAGTAACAGGGAAGGGAAATCGGTGACCATGTGGATACCTATATTTGGCTAAATATCATATCTCCAAATTTCACATGGATCATATCAATGAGGAAGTTCAGCATTTGACATATTGTTATCTTAATAAACTTCAGATTACACTTACCTTCAATATTGCCAAACCATCCTGAACGTCTGAAGATGCATGGTCACCATATTTAGTGACAAACGACCCATGGATCAAGGAATGAAGTTTTTCCTTAGTTTTATTTCGTGTGGGATAGTTGTGTACAAAGTTGAAAATTCAAATGTTCAGAACTTGGTTCTTTTCTGAGACTGCAAAAATTCGAGCAAAGCCTTTACGTTTTTGAAAATCCATATGATATAAATACTTTCTGTGAGTATATAGAACGTCCTTCATTGATTTTATTAAGGATTATGAATACTCTTTGAGACAGGTATTTGAGTAGTAAATGTTTTTGAACCAGCAACATGTGTCTCTTTGTATGGATTTGTTATGGCGATACATGGACCTCCAGGTTTATCTGAATGATGGTGTGCATTTTAAGCCTGAATCTGTTTGAAGAAAAACACCTTCCGACAAGTTTTGTGACAGGCAATCTCTTTTTTAACAATGTGAAGTACAATGTATTTATTTTGCCTGCAGATGTTCATTGGTTAGGTTGCATCGGGTGGGACGACATTGTGTGTTGTACATGCAAAATCGTCTTTATTATGAGATACTTGTGTGTGGATGAGATTTGGAGTGAGTGAGTTGGGTTTAACGCCACTTTTAACAATATTCCAGTTATATCGCGGCGTGTCAGCTCAATGTGGGAGGAAAGCCCGAATTGATGCAGGCCTCAGACGTTTACCACTTCGGTGAAACCCACGAGCACGGGTATGGTGCTGACAAACCTAGAAATACGTATAATCGGGGCGGACCGGGATTCGAGCCAACAGTCATAGGTTACTGGCACACCAAAGGGGACGGAACTCCCACAGCGAATCGCTGCGCCTTAGACGACTGGGCCACCCGTGCCCCCTGAGATTTGGAATATTGTCAGGGACATTCTATGGTAATCAAGAGGGATCGCTGCGTTGATTAGAGTATTGCTTGTTTAGAAAGCTATCCAAATATTAGCCCTATGCAAACGTTCGAAAGCGTTTCTGACATAAATAAATGCGACGAAACCCTTTTCATATTCATAAGAAATCTCTGCCAAGAGCAGAGTCAATTGTACAATTTCGACTCTATCGTGTGTTTATGAATCATTATCAAATAGTGATGATACAAGGTGTTCGCGAAAAGATTAGTGTATCCTGCCCCACCGGTGGCACCCGTCACAAACACGCGTAAAGGCAAGTCCATTGTTCACTTGAGACAACACTGGAACATATGTTACAAGTCAAAATAGGGAATATCATCGGACATCATTTTGAAGTGAACACAAAAAAGAAGTTGGAAAACAGATTATGCAAATATATAATATCTCCATACTTGAAATGTACAATGTGACAATGCAGTGATTGAGTGAGTTTGGTTTTCCGCCGCTTTTAGCGATAGTCCTGCAAATCACGACTGGGGACACCAGAAACGGGCTTCACACATTGTAACCATGTCGAAAATCGAACCCGGGTTTTCGGCGTGACGAGCGAACGCTTTAACCACGAGGCTACCCGACCACCCCTGTGACAATGCAGCTGTAATAAATCATCTTAATTTGATGACACCACACATACACAATTGATATGCCTCAAGAACGTGTCAAGGCCAGCTATGGTATCAAATGTCATGAGCTAGTAGTTTATCAAAAATTTCACTTCTCATGCCATGAAAAATCGCTTTCAATAATAGTCCAACCCATGTACAATTTGCAAGGGAAGAGATAATGAAAACCTCGTGACCATGATACCCTGTTAGAGATTACAGTCGAGTCTGTGAGTCCAATCCGCCCTACATTGTGAAAGAGAGGTGGGGAGAGGTGAGGTTTAACGTCGCGTCCAAGATTATTGCACTTATATAGCGACGTGCATGCACGTGTATGTGTGTGTGTGGCTGCTTGTACTAATCCGGACTGATGCCGATTTATAGTGCTACTGACTCCGAGCCGACCAGTCCTTGTTTTAGCCCCTTAATGCCGAGCGCCAGACAGGGTAACAACAAGTACCATCTTTTAACGTCTTTTGGTATGACGCGGTCGAGGATCGAACCCCGGACCTTCCGCTCTCCGGGCGGACGCTCTACCATTAGACCACGGAGGCGGTCCACATTGTGAAAGACACAACATTACCGTTTGTATTGAAGAAAACACAAACCAGCGGATATATACCATAAGAGACATGTAATCTATTTATTTGTAATGACACAAGTGTTGACGTCAGTCTTCACAGTGGTCAATTAAACAATTCAGTTATAATTTTACAGACATCAATGTCATAAATTGACGCTGCTTTAAATGTATCACATTTATCACAGATTGTGTTTGAGGAATACCAAAGTGACGCACGTCGTAGAACTATGTATCCTTTTGAAAGCCTCGTAGACCCACATCGCCTTATTGAAACCCTCGTAGGCTCATTGCACCTTATTGAAACCCACGTAGACCTATATCACCTTATTGAAACCCTCGTAGACTCATATCACCTTATTGAAACCCTCGTAGACCCATATCAACTTATTGAAACCCTCGTAGACCTATATCACCTTATTGAAATCCTCGTAGGCTCATTGCACCTTATTGAAACCCTCGTAGACCCATATCACCTTATTGAAATACTTGTAGACCTATATCACCTTATTGAAACCCTCGTAGACCTATATCACCTTATTGAAATCCTCGTAGACCTATATCACCTTATTGAAACCCTCGTAGACCTATATCACCTTATTGAAATCCTCGTAGACCTATATCACCTTATTGAAATCCTCGTAGACCTATATCACCTTATTGAAACCCTCGTAGACCTATATCACCTTATTGAAACCCTCGGATCCTGGCATGGCTAAGAAATACAACCGCCCGCAGTGTGAATTGCGACGCCTTACACCTATACCCCGTGTCCCCTCCTTCGTTTTAATTGTATGTGATGCAAACCGGACAAAGCAATTTGACAGGATTTAATCATTTTATTTTCATCGACACAAGAAAGACAAATGGTACGACTTTAAACATGTTAAACAAAAAAAAATCATCCACGATAGCTCAATAAGGTCTATACAGGTAGGTGATAACACTGTTAAAGACTGACATCACAAACTACAAAAAGCACACATATCGCTTTGGAGGAGGCTTGACACATTGTAGCTTGCGAGGAGATGAGGTAATGCATGAACTAGTTTCGTGATGGGGCGGGGTTTGTTGGCTAGAGACTTCTTGGTATCTTTGCACCAATGTAGTCGAGATTTGCAGGGGTATTACTGAAACAAGAAATGTGGATGTGACAGGACATTCAGAGCATTGTATCATAATAGTTTGTGTTATGAAGATGGTTATGGTGCATACATATCTTTGATTGATGTGCGATGTATGATTCATATTTCCAGGGCCCACTTGCACAAAAAGATCTTAGGGGTAAGTTGATCATAACTCCTATACTTTAACATAGCCTTACGGTAATCGTAGAGCTAAGATCGCTTTGGACCCAGGACTATTGTTGGTGACAGTATTTAGAATCATCACAACTTGTTTTACTGAATAAATTTACAAATGTATTTTCTTGCCAATCAACTTTCCTTAAGACTGAAGACTGTTCTTATATACAATCCATACACTAATATGGTCACTCAAACAGCCATGCAATCATACATGAGGTCTATGTTAAAGTATGGGAGTTACAATACTCTGTGCTGAGACCGCTTTGTTCAAATGGGTCCTGGCAGCTGACCAGAGTGAAATGCGTGCTGTTTCACCCCTAAGGCAATTATATACGCGTAATAATATAGATTCAGGTCAATACTAATTCATCTATGAAGCATCATGTCATGAAGCTCTGAACACCGTGTTGTTTCAACCGTTTCGCCAATTAGTAATTTGCTGTTTGAAAACGAAGTCGTTACAATGTGGACTATATTTCCTACACAAGGCCCCCGGCGTGTAATATTTTCGGACATGATCATGACCTGGGTCCACGTGCACAAAGCGATCCTACATTTAACGCTAAGACCATCGTAACTACCATATTTTAGCAAAGACTTTACTGAGAAAAAAGTCTTGCGAATTCTTCTAACATAATTTGTCACAGCGGCCGGAAGGTTAGAAAACAAACAAAAATAATTAACTATCCTGGTTTGGATAGTCAAGTGGCAAAGTGTTCCGCAGGGGTACAATGTGTTCAACGGATTTCTGGCGTCCCAACTAGGATATTGCTGGAATATTGCTACAATCGGCTTGACTCCTTTTTCACTCACTCGCTGATATTATGGTATGGTAGTTTGGCTTCCGTACTGGTATCAGTCCAAGGTATTCAAATGGAATGAAATCCCCCTTCTTTCCTAACATCAAACGTGCAAGGGAAAGGCGACTATTACACGTGTTTCGTTGAACCTGCCTACTCTCCCCTCCCTTCAAACTTTCGCGAACCTGCATTCCCGGAACACAGGGCGTACTTGACAACGCAGTATATCAGTACAACGCAGTACTGCGAATGTCGTCGACACGAGCAGGGCCGATGGTGTCTACATGACTAAACACGGATACACAGATGCCGATGACCTCTCCTTGATCTCAGTACATCCTGATACACTACAACACATGATACATGCATCTGCGCAACATGTCGAGATGACTTAAATTATCATCTTCACCTCAACTAAAATATGTACCTATTTTAATGCTTAAATTATTATCAATACAAATCTTAACTCTAAGACTTGCTAAAGATAAGTGCAATAACGAGTAAATAGTTCCCAGCTACAAGGCTGTATTGATTTAAAATTGTAACGTGACTGTGCACAGGTGCTCGTTATTTTTCTTTGCCACGGAGATTTATCATTGTGATAATATGTTGTGACTGCGAATTTGTTACAACGGCACAGACATTGCATACCTGGTTAGGGTGAAACTTTGGTACACATACATTTGTGTAAATACATTTATCATCCAAAACTGGCCTCCATCGTAGATATTGCTTCACTAAAAGTGCATCATGATGTTTTGTAGACCGCTGTGACGTCACTGGTTACCATCACTAATCTCTGCTATTGAACATTGTTAGCAGTGCTTTTTACACTTAAAACACTACTTGTTACTGTTTACAGTAAGCTGTCGGACGATAAAAAGAATATTATTCTCTTTTATTATCAAATATATCCACATTCCTTATGAAAACTTTAAAACTCCTCAGCAAGCCTCGGATCTTTAAGCTTTAGTCGACTCGTGGAGATATATAACTAGATCCTTTGGTGACATTTTTTTCCAAACTATGTTTAAAACTATAAAACAGACGAAGTGTAGTCACCTGACATGTGATATATAACCACTGGGCTACCCGACCGCCCCAACACATAAGGAAATCCACCATGTTTAGCAAACGAATATTTCGTTTTCGCTCCAGTATTTTCTGGAAGATTTTATTTTCAATTCCAGAACCTCACTTCCTCACTCTTGTAGAGAGCCCGATGCCTGATATTTACATTGCTTCTTAATAATTTCATCATCACCTCTTCCTACCGGGTACCCATCTGCTGAAGGGAAGATGGCTCAACAAGTCTTACACTATGTCGATGTATGGGAAAGGACGGGCTGCTGATACGCGGCTGACACGTTAAATGAAATGATGACCCACCATCCCGATGTGTGCATTCCCGGGAGTCCGGGAAGAACCATTGTCTGTTTGACACTGTCCTGGAAACAGTGATTACCGAGGGAAATGATCTTCAAAGAATTCGGTAGGAGTGAGTGAGTGTAACGACGCTTTGAACAGACATTTAGGAGCAAAGTGATGCAGGTCGTTGACGTGTTTAATTTTTATGTAAACCACGAGCATGGGTATCGTGCTCGAAAACCTAGAAACATAACCAGGGTGAAAACTGAGGTTCGAACCCACGATGATTTCTGACACGCCTTTTTAAAGTATATTGATATTGATACATAGTAAACAATATTTTAGTCAATACGTAGAATAAGTAAACACAATTGCTACCCAATGCAATTCCCTATTTTCATTTTACCATATATTCCCGTTTTCTTTTCACATGAACAATTGACTTGCCTTTTCATGTGTTTGTAACAGGTTTAACCACGCTTTTTGTAAATGGGAAGTTGATCAATTATTTTTATGAAGGTTTCAAGTGATCTGCCACAACCATGCATTATATTCCATTTGGAGAGGGGGGGGGGGGGGACAAAGGAGCAGTGAAAAATATATGAATTTAGCGCTTCCTTACATGTAATTGTAATGTTGAATGTCACGTTAATGTTGAATAGGTGATGTGAATCATGAACGTATCACAGTTGTAGGATGTATGGTTTTAGCTGTATTTCAATTGTATCGTTAGTTGTACTTTTATTTCATCTGAAAGGATGACTTGCCTTTGCATGTGTTTGTGACAGGTGACACCGGTGGGACAAGATAAGCAAACACCTGATATTGTCACTATTTGATACTGATTCATAAACGCACGCTTATGATATAGTCGGAATCGTATAATGGACCCTACTTTTAGAAAAGATACATTCTCCTTATTGAGTAACTCATGGGATTCCTTGTGGAAATGTCAAGGAACGATACAAGTTTGTATCTGTACATTAATATGACATATTTTATTTCTCATGAAAACAATAACAACAACTTCAGCACTCACATTTAAAATATCACAGGATATAGATAATATATCACTGACATGGGGATTGATGTTAAACATGTGACGGTGCCCCTTAACATAAATAGAGGAATTATGTCAAGTAGCACTACTAGGGGTGTAGACCTTATTATACAGACTTCATATGTAACAGACACGTTCACTCTTGAAACTATCACTTTCAAGTGATATTATCGTCCATATTTCACAACTGGAATATGCCAGAAAGGAACTCCTCACAATGCTTGGAAGCAACTACGGCTTTGGCAGATCGGGGTCTCCTGGTCCTGTGTCTCTTATTTGCAAACCACTTTCGGAGCTGAGAAAGTGTGATGCCTCCCTTGTTGACCATGTCTTCAGCTTCTGTATGAGTGGGATAGGGGTTGTTTAGATGCTCATGGTACCACGTCTCCATCAAGATGATGGATTCAGGATTGAGGTTTCTGCTTGCAGGACGGGACAGCTTCTTGTCTTGATTATCTAGATTGTTAAGACTTCTCTCGATGCTGGTGAGGACCAGGTGGAGCTGGTCAGTATATCTGTTGGTCAGCCAGTTGTGGTAGTCCGTGGGAAAGAAACCATCTTGAAGACACTGTTCATGCTCCTTCTGAATAGATGACGAATGGAAGGCAAGGAAGCTGGAAAGTTCTCAAGAATTGACTGACGATCGGAGGAAAGGCAGTTGATAGTCTTCGTTGTTGGAACTGTTTCGAGTGTTTTTGAGATGATATCATCAACAGCTTTACCAATGTCCGGTCTGGAGGAAGACGGCAGCTTGAAGTCGAGTGGCCGCGTCTCTGTGACGAGGCTGATGTCCATACATTTTGAATGTGGGCGAGTGGGCGACTGGTATTTGCGTTGGTGTCGACAGGTCGAATGGTGCACTGGAAACCCCAAACGACTGGGTTGGAAGGAAGCATGGACTTGGTGGCAGGAATGGTGGACTTGGTGGTAGGGTGCAGCTGGAAGCCATGTAGGAGCCTGGTCTGAAGCTGGGAGTGTAGTACCTGGTGGAGCAGGGAGGGATGAAACTGTAGGGGCTGGAGAAGCAGGTTGCCTGGATGTAGGCGGGAGATGCCATCGGGTGGAGGCTTGAGAGAGTTGGTACATTGTGGTGGGAGTCAGCAACTGGCAGTGTGAGGGATGGCACACCACGTCTCTTGGGCAGAGGGGTTGATGTGTGCTGAGGTGCTCCTGCAATAAAGGAAATATTGTATAACATACTCAGGGTAAGCAATGGCATGGATACGGCATAGACTTTACCCAATGGCACTTTGAATAAGAAGGACTTGAATAATGAGGACATCTCACTCATTTTATTCCATCTATAGATTAGAACTTGATACTAGAACACTACGTGGAAGAACTTACCAATACCAGAATAGACGTGATAGGAATCATCAACAGGAGTTTTCAAGTCAGCCATCTTTGATTTGAGGAACGTTCACTTGTTCAAGGTACTGAGGTAGCTGTGTATCAACATACTCAACAAGTGAGATGTGCTCACCTTCCAACTGTGGAGTTTTATGCTCTACTCACTTCTCTGGCTTCATCACCTTCAACCCCATTGGCTGTAAGGACTCTTTTATCCATGACTTCTATTTGAGCATTTAACTTTCTTTGATCTAGGGTTTCACTAACCAATTGATTACTCTTTCTTTATAACATCAAGCCAATCAGCTGATTGGAATTTAGTTTGGCCTCTTGATTCGTCTTTGAATTGTCAACATTCAAGGATGACGAGATTATCGAGTTTTGATAGACGGTCTTTGTATGTGTATATGACGGAAAGCGGTTGATGGGGGTTTCATTGGTTTCAATGATCTCTGGCTTCTTTAACGCTGTGTTCCCTTTATGTTTGATTGGCTATGGTGTCTTTCATCTCTCGTGTTACTGGTTAGTGTTTTGATAGCGTTAAACAAACATTTTCCTTTGGCGGGATTTCCTGATTGACGTATCTTTCTTTGATTTTCTCTGACACAAACCAATTAGTTTATTGGATTGATTGTTTCGACTACAAGTTGGGTTTTCCACATTTACGAATGATAATGATGTTTCGTAATACTGTCTTAAGCAGCTGAACGTAACGTTTAATTACACCCAAACTACAATCTGCGGAGTTGTGGGTAGAATATTTGCATAGCAAGCATAGTACATTATAAATAATATTGTAGTCAATGCGTAACGTTAGTGAACACAATTGTTGATCAATGTAATTCCCTATTTTGATTTATACCATATGTTCCCGTATATTTTTTCACGTTAACGGTTGACTTGCTTTTTCATGTGTTTGTGACAGTTGTCACCTGTGGGGCAGGATACGCTTATCTTTTCGCCCAAATCTGGTGTCATCACCATTTGATACTGATTCATTAACGCATGCATTTGATATAGTCGGATTGGTGTAATGGACCCTACTTTTAGAAAAAAAAATCTTTGGATTAATATGGATTAATGTGCACATCCTTTTATGTGATAGTAGTGTTGAGGATGTGATGTTAACGTTGAATATGTGATATTAATGTTGAACGTATCATAGTTATGGTGAATTTATGTTTAAATGAGTATTACAGTTATATCGTGAGGTATACGTCATGTCAGCTTGATGCATATGAATTTTAAACATGTTTAAAGGTGTTTAAATTCTAAACATGTTTGGATTAAGGGAATGTTGTGTTTAGGCTATGAAGCGATGGTTCATATCATGTGTTTAGAATCCAAACGAGTTTAGACAGAACACACAAATGTGCATACCGTTAAGGATTCAAACACGTTCCTAAACATGTCTTGTATGTGTTTACATTCTACACTCATTTTTACAGTGTGGTTTAAGTGGTGAATTATACTAATTTGATAAGTGTGCAGTCTACCAGGCAGGATAGAACATTCGCTGTTTACTAAGCTTCTGGCCGCTGTTACTTCTTAAGTCATTCAAATCAACTAGACTTTTTTCTCAGTGTAGGGAATTTGTTAAACATAAGATAATAAGATAAACTGATTCCTTTCTGTTGCAAATGACTGACATACAAACGCATATGCGCATTTATCATATAATGGGTAGGTTTCTCGGCTGGATAAAGCCAACGGATAAAAACGATATCCGTTGGGGTCATATGCGGATAGAGATGCAAATATCAAAGGTCAAGTAGGGACTACTTTCACTGTTTATAAACAAACATGGCGTCGCCCTCGTCATTCGGCAATCGAGTTAGAATTAACCATCGGAAATCTGGATAAACTACAGGGATAATTGCTATCATTATCAAAAGAACAGTCTAATATACTGAAAATCAGTGTCTAACTGTGACGTAGCTAAGGCATTTTATAAGTTTTGGCAACTTTGGAGATATAAATTTCGAAACAATTTTGCGAGGGCACGAGGCCTAGCCAAGCGGGATCAGTAGCCATGACTGGTAGACCTCTGCAGCTTGAAACCTTCTCCACAAATTGAAATAGTTGGATTTGGCCGAAATATGTTTGAATTGTTACCTTGTTTCGTTTTGTCGCTCTGTGTACATCTGACTACACTTCTTAACGTTATGACAGGACAGACCGACTGTCAACAACGTCTGACCATGGCCGTGACGTCTCATAGACTAGGGTTAGAGTAGCTTCCCTTTGACAAAGGGCAGCTACTCTAGCGGACAGACCGATGGATTGCCGCGAAAGGCAATTAAAAACAATTGTTGTTTTGCGTATGTGTTGCTTCGCCACTGTATAAGAAACAGATTTCAGTTGGAACTATATTGGCTACTGTCACTGTCCGACTGACACATCACTTACCCTGTGACGTAATGAAAATTAATGCGCGCATTCCAGGAAAACTCGCAATGTTTCGGTAATGTTTGTGAGAGGGAAAGCGATTTTGAAGCGCAGAATTAAAGAATGACATTATATGAAAAAGAGGTTATCACGCTTGTGTGTTTGGGGATGGTAAATATCCTGTATTAGGAATAAACACTATGTATTTAGCTCGCCAAGGCTCGCTGAATACAACGTTTATTCCTAATGCAGGATATTTACCATCCCCAAACACACAAGCGTGATAACCTCTATTTATCAGGCAGGATATTTTTTTTCTCTCACTGCTTCAAAACACACTTTTGTAAAAGGGGAATTAATAACTGATTTTAAAGGATATTTTCAATGATCTGCCAAAACCACGCATCAGATTCCATTGGGTGGAAAATGCAAAAGAGCAGTGACAAAATGTGTAAATAGATAACTGCAAAATCAATGATAAAGCCTGGTGTTCGCGAAAAAGCATGTAAAGGAGCACATGCTTTTTGTGATAGTAATGTTGAACATGGGATGTTAATGTTAAATAAGTGATGTTAATAGTAAACGTATCATAGTTCTGGGGATGTATGTTTTAAGCCGTATTTCAATTGTATCGTTAGTTATAAGCCATGTCAGCTTGTTGAATGTGGGGCAGGCTTTAGATGTTTACCGCCTACGTAAAACCCTCGAGCTCGGACATGGCGTTGCTAAACTGTAACACATAATCAGGGCGAGTCTCGGATTCGAATCCATGTGATATTTATGCTGAATGTGTTGTGCATAATGTTGAATGTGTTGTAGTAAAGTAAAATGTGCAAAATTCACGTTGCACGTGTTAGAGTTATAGTAGTGTAAAATTGTGATATTAATCTTGATGTCATAGTTATGTTGGATGTGTTATAGTTATGATGGGCTTTACAGCATATGTGGTGGTAATGTGTGATGCATAATAACATCCTACAACTGCCCAACTGTATAATGCATACGTATCCTGAGTAGACACCTTCCTTTTGATCTGCTTCTAGGAATGTGTAAAATACAAGTGTTCCATGTAAGATCGATTCAACCACATGGAATGCTAGATTTCCGATCTCGCACTTCTGACATCGGATGATATAGCCTCCATATAAACCAGTTTGTTTATATATCGATATATATGTGTGTGTATTTGTATGTGACTTGTTTATTTGCATCATAATATTTGCAAAAGTAGGTACCATTAATCTAAATTTATCATTTTATGTACAGTTTAGTCCTTTGTAGGGACGAGTGTTCAAATAGGTTTAACCTGTTATTCAATCCCATTCCTTTTCGGAAATAAATATTGTTCAAATCATAATCTCCATATTCAGTAATGACATATCTAAGGAACAATACAAGTCTATATGTGTGTATTAATATGACATATTTTATTTGTCATCAAAACAATTATAACAACTTCAACACTCACTTCCACAAATATCACAGAATATAGATCATATAGCACTATGTTTCAGACATAGGGATTGATGTTATACAAGTGGCGGTCTTCTTGACCATAAATAGAAGAGGTATTTCCAATAGCACTACGAGGGTCTCAGACATTATCATACAGACTTCATATGTAATATCAGTTACTATCATTCAAGTGATATGATTGTCCATATTTCACAACTGGAATATGCCAGACAGGAACTCCTCACAATGCTTGGAAGCAACTACGGCTTTGGCAGATCGGGGTCTCCTGGTCCTGTGTCTCTTATTTGCAAACCACTTTCGGAGCTGAGAAAGTGTGATGCCACCCTTGTTGGCCATGTCTTCAGCTTCTGTATGAGTTGGGTAGGGGTTGTTTAGATGCTTATGGTACCACGATTCCATCAAGGTGATGGATTCAGGATTGAGGTTTCTGCTGGCAGGTCGGGACAGCTTCTTGTCTTGTTTTTCTAGATTGTTAAGACTTCTCTCGATGCTGGTGAATACCAGGTGGAGCTGGTCAGTATATCTGTTGGTCAGCCAGTTGTGGTAGTCCGTGGGAAAGAAACCATCTTGAAGACACTGTTCATGCTCCTTCTGAATAGATGACGAATAGAAGGCAAGGAAGCTGGATAGTTCTTTAACCTCTGCTGGGAACCTTGACTGGAGTGACTGAAGTCTATTCTCAAGAGCTGACTGACGATCGGAGGAATGGCAGTTGGTAGTCTTCGTTGTTGAAACTCTATCAAGTGTTTTTGAGATGATATCATCAACAGCTTTACCAATGTCCGGTCTGGAGGAAGACGGCAGCTTGAAGTCAAGTGGTCGCGTCTCTGTGACGAGGCTGATCTCCATACATTTTGAATGTTGGCGAGTGGCATCTGGTATTTGCGTTGGTGTAGACAGGGCAGGGGTGTTTGGAATCGATACTGGATGGATGGGCAGAATTGGTGGACTAGAAATCGTCCCCGTTTTGCTGGAAGGTAAGAAGGATGGACTCAATGGTGCACTGGAAACCCCAAACGACTGGGTTGGAAGGAAGCATGGACTTGGTGGCAGGAATGGTGGACTCGGTGGTAGGGTGCAGCTGGAAGCCATGTAGGAGCCTGGTCTGAAGCTGGAAGTGTAGTACCTGGTGGAGCAGGGAGGGAAGACACTGTAGGGGCTGGAGAAGCAGGTTGCCTGGAGGTAGGTGGGAGATGCCATCGGGTGGAGGCTTGAGAGAGTTGGTACATTGTGGGGGGAGTCAGCAACTGGCAGTGTGAGGGATGGCACACCACGTCTCTTGGGCAGAGGGGTTGATGTGTGCTGAGGTGCTCCTGCAATAAAGGAAATATTGTATAACATACTCAGGGTAAGCAATGGCATGGATACGGCATAGACTTTACCCAATGGCACTTTGAATAAGAAGGACTTGAATAATGAGGACATCTCACTCATTTTATTCCATCTATAGATTAGAACTTGATACTAGAACACTACGTGGAAGGACTTACCAATACCAGAATTGACGTGATAGGAATCATCAACAGGAGTTTTCAAGTCAGCCATCTTTGATTTGAGGAACGTTCACTTGTTCAAGGTACTGAGGTAGCCGTGTATCAACAGACTCAACAAGTGAGATGTGCTCACCTTCCAACTGTGGAGTTTTATGCTCTACTCACTTCTCTGGCGTCATCACCTTCAACCCCATTGGCTGTAAGGACTCTTTGATCCATGGCTTCTATTTGAACATTTAACTCTCTTTGATCTAGGGTTTCACTAACCAATTGATTACTCTTTCTTTATAACATCAAGCCAATCAGCTGATTGGAATTTAGTTTGGCCTCTTGATTCGTCTTTGCCTTGTCAACATTCAAGGATGACGAGATTATCGAGTTTTGATAGACGGTCTTTGTATGTGTATATGACGGAAAGCGGTTGATGGGGGTTTCATTGGTTTCAATTATCTCTGGCTTCTTTAACGATGTGTTCCCTTTATGTTTGATTGGCTATGGTGTCTTTCATCTCTCGTGTTACTGGTAAGTGTTTTGATAGCGTTAAACAAACATTTTCCTTTGGCGGGATTTCCTGATTGACGTATCTTTCTTTGACTTTCTCTGACACAAACCAATTAGTTTATTGGATTGATTGTTTCGACTACAAGTTGGGTTTTCCACATTTACGAATGATAATGATGTTTCGTAATACTGTCTTAAGCAGCTGAACGCAACGTTTAATTACACCCAAACTACAATCTGCGGAGTTGTGGGTAGAATATTTGTATAGCAAGCATAGTACATTATAAACAATATTGTAGTCAATGCGTAACGTTAGTGAACACAATTGTTGATCAATGTAATTCCCTATTTTGATTTATACCATATGTTCCCGTATATTTTTTCACGTTAACGGTTGACTTGCTTTTTCATGTGTTTGTGACAGTTGTCACCTGTGGGGCAGGATACGCTTATCTTTTCGCCCAAATCTGGTGTCATCACTGTTTGATACTGATTCATTAACGCATGCATTTGATATAGTCGGATTGGTGTAATGGACCCTACTTTTAGAAAAAAAATAATCTTTGGATTAATATGGATTAATGTGCACATCCTTTTATGTGATAGTAGTGTTGAGGATGTGATGTTAACGTTGAATATGTGATATTAATGTTGAACGTATCATAGTTATGGTGAATGTATGTTTAAATGAGTATTACAGTTATATCGTGAGGTATACGTCATGTCAGCTTGATGCATATGAATTTTAAACATGTTTAAAGGTGTTTAAATTCTAAACATGTTTGGATTAAGGGAATGTTGTGTTTAGGCTATGAAGCGATGGTTCATATCATGTGTTTAGAATCCAAACGAGTTTAGACAGAACACACAAATGTGCATACCGTTAAGGATTCAAACACGTTCCTAAACATGTCTTGTATGTGTTTACATTCTACACACATTTTTACAGTGTGGTTTAAGTGGTGAATTATACTAATTTGATAAGTGTACAGTCTACCAGGCAGGATAGAACATTCGCTGTTTACTAAGCTTCTGGCCGCTGTTACTTCTTAAGTAAGTCAAATCAACTAGACTTTTTTCTCAGTGTAGGGAATTTGTTAAACATAAGATAATAAGATAAACTGATTCCTTTCTGTTGCAAATGACTGACATACAAACGCATATGCGCATTTATCAGGCAGGATATTTTTTTTCTCTCACTGCTTCAAAACACACTTTTGTAAAAGGATTTTAAAGGATATTTTCAATGATCTGCCAAAACCACGCATCAGATTCCATTGGGTGGAAAATGCAAAAGAGCAGTGACAAAATGTGTAAATAGATAACTGCAAAATCAATGATAAAGCCTGGTGTTCGCGAAAAAGCATGTAAAGGAGCACATGCTTTATGTGATAGTAATGTTGAATATGGGATGTTAATGTTAAATAAGTGATGTTAATAGTAAACGTATCATAGTTCTGGGGATGTATGTTTTAAGCCGTATTTCAATTGTATCGTTAGTTATAAGCCATGTCAGCTTGTTGAATGTGGGCGACAAGTCTAAAGTGAGGCAGGCTTTAGATGTTTACCGCCTACGTAAAACCCTCGAGCTCGGACATGGCGTTGCTAAACTGTAACACATAATCAGGGCGAGTCTCGGATTCGAATCCATGTGATAATTATGCTGAATGTGTGGTGCATAATGTTGAATGTGTTGTAGTAAAGTAAAATGTGCAAAATTCACGTTGCACGTGTTAGAGTTATAGTAGTGTAAAATTGTGATATTAATCTTGATGTCATAGTTATGTTGGATGTGTTATAGATATGTTTGGCTTTACAGCATATGTGGTGGTAATGTGTGATGCATAATAACATCCTACAACTGCCCAACTGTATAATGCATACGTATCCTGAGTAGACACCTTCCTTTTGATCTGCTTCTGGGAATGTGTATAATACAAGTGTTCCATGTAAGATCGTTACAACCAAATGGAATGCTAGATTTCCGATCTCGCACTTCTGACATCGGATGATATAGTCTCCATATAAACCAGTTTGTTTATATATCGATATATGTGTGTGTATTTGTGTATTTGTATGTGACTTGTTTATTTGCATCATAATCTTTGCAACAGTAGGTACCATTAATCAAAAGTTATCATTTTATGTACAGTTTAGTCCTTTGTAGGGACGAGTGTTCAAATAGGTTTAACCTGTTATTCAATCCCATTCCTTTTCGGAAATAAATATTGTTCAAATCATAGTCTCCATATTCAGTAAAGACATATCTAAGGAACAATACAAGTCCATATGTGTGTATTAATATGACATATTTTATTTGTCATCAAAACAATTATAACAACTTCAACACTCACATCCACAAATATCACAGAATATAGATCATATAGCACTATGTTTCAGACATAGGGATTGATGTTATACAAGTGGCGGTCTTCTTGACCATAAATAGAAGAGGTATTTCCAATAGCACTACGAGGGTCTCAGACATTATCATACAGACTTGTAATATCAGTTACTATCATTCAAGTGATATGATTGTCCATATTTCACAACTGGAATATGCCAGACAGGAACTCCTCACAATGCTTGGAAGCATCTACGGCTTTGGCAGATCGGGGTCTCCTGGTCCTGTGTCTCTTATTTGCAAACCACTTTCGGAGCTGAGAAAGTGTGATGCCTCCCTTGTTGGCCATGTCTTCAGCTTCTGTATGAGTTGGGTAGGGGTTGTTTAGATGCTTATGGTACCACGATTCCATCAAGGTGATGGATTCAGGATTGAGGTTTCTGCTGGCAGGTCGGGACAGCTTCTTGTCTTGTTTTTCTAGATTGTTAAGACTTCTCTCGATGTTGGTGAAGACCAGGTGGAACTGGTCAGTATATCTGTTGGTCAGCCAGTTGTGGTAGTCCGTGGGAAAGAAACCATCTTGGAAACACTGCTCCTTCTGAATAGATGACGAATGGAAGGCAAGGAAGCTGGATAGTTCTTTAACCTCTGCTGGGAACCTTGACTGGAATGACTGAAGTCTATTCTCAAGAGCTGACTGACGATCGGAGGAATGGCAGTTGGTAGTCTTCGTTGTTGAAACTCTATCAAGTGTTTTTGAGATAATGTCATCAACAGCTTTACCAATGTCCGGTCTGGAGGAAGACGGCAGCTTGAAGTCAAGAGGTCGCGTCTCTGTGACGAGGCTGATGTCCATACATTTTGAATGTGGGCGAGTGGCATCTGGTATTTGCGTTGGTGTAGACAAGGCAGGGGTGTTTGGAATCGATACTGGATGGATGGGCAGAATTGGTGGACTAGAAATCGTCCCCGTTTTGCTGGAAGGTAAGAAGGATGGACTCAATGGTGCACTGGAAACCCCAAACGACTGGGTTGGAAGGAAGCATGGACTTGGTGGCAGGAATGGTGGACTCGGTGGTAGGGTGCAGCTGGAAGCCATGTAGGAGCCTGGTCTGAAGCTGGAAGTGTAGTACCTGGTGGAGCAGGGAGGGAAGACACTGTAGGGGCTGGAGAAGCAGGTTGCCTGGAGGTAGGTGGGAGATGCCATCGGGTGGAGGCTTGAGAGAGTTGGTACATGGTGGTGGGAGTCAGCAACTGGCAGTGTGAGGGATGGCACACCACGTCTCTTGGGCAGAGGGGTTGATGTGTGCTGAGGTGCTCCTGCAATAAAGAAAATATTGTATAACATACTCAGGGTAAGCAATGGCATGGATACGGCATAGACATTACCCAATGGCACTTTGAATAAAAAGGACTTGAATAATGAGGAGATCTCACTCATTTTATTCCATCTATCGATTAGAACTTGATACTAGAACACTATGTGGAAGGACTTACCAATACCAGAATTGACGTGAAAGGAATCATCAACAGGAGTTTTCAAGTCAGCCATCTTGGATTTGAAGAACGTTTTGTTCAGGGTTCTGAGGTAGCTGTTGTATCAACAGACTCAACGAATGAGATGTGCTCACCTTACTTACTTACTTACTTACTTACTTACTTTGGAGATTTAACGTGCGCTTTCCGACTGATGCGTTTTTCGCACACGGTGTGTGTGCTCACCTTACTTACTTACTTACTTACTTACTTTGGAGATTAACGTGCGCTTTCCGACTGATGCGTATTTCGCACACGGGCCCGGCCAGGCCATTTAATGTGTTTCCGAAAGGGGCGAAGGTGGTCTGTGCAACCCAAGAGGGGGGTTTTAGGGGTTGCTTATATAGAATTTGGGAATTTTGAGATTTGGAATAGATGCCGATGGGATTGGGGAGGAGAACTAAGGGAGCTGGGTATGGTGGATGTTTGTTTGTTTATGTGATTTTGATTTGGTAGGTTATTGTGTTTTTAGATGCGTTTTATTAGTTCCGTTTTTATTAAGAATACGCCTAAGGCCTTGAAGTCTTCTTGTTTATTTTGTGGGTTTAGTATTCCTTCTAGAGTTAGAGCCTTGTTTAGATTGAGGGTGGTTTGTAATGCGGTTCGATGTGTTAGGTAGTGTGTGCAGTGGATGAGTGCGTGTTCTGGGGTTTCTGGTTGTTTGCAGTGTG